GAGTGAAAAATAGGGAGAAATGATAAGAAAATGAAACACTCTTATTTTATAGGTTTCAGTTTTACTTATCACCAAAAGTAGTGAAATTTGATGAGAAATAACTTCATTGATTGCATAGTTGTTGTGGGAGGCTAAAATAAATTAAGCTCAGACATAGCAGAAATTCCTAGACTGGTATTCATGGTAGGAAAGTGACTTCACCAGCGGATTGGGAATTCAGCCTTGGATGATTTGAGTCTGGGATTGGGGGTCCAGGACCAGACTAGGTCAGAGGAATTTAAAGATAGAGGAAATGCGGCAGCAAGCATGCCTTAGCAGGGCGTAGACCCAGTCAAACACACGTCCCTTTATTTTAGGCCCAACCGACTCCTAGAAATCTGCACTTTGTGGGACACAATCCCTAAGGAAATAGGGTTGACGTAAGGAGTGGAGGGAAGCCTAACAGCTCACGACAGCTAGTGGGAGCAAGCTATAAAAAAGAAGTTAATCAACACAATAAAGGTATACAACCACTTTAACCTGAACCTTACTCTACATATTATGCACCTTTGTCTACTTTATCATTGACTTAGGCATTGGAAGGACCCGAAACTGCTCCAGCCACACCTTTTACCGTTTTGTGAGTGTATTTCAGGTCCGAAGTCTAGCTTTTACCACCGTGTTGCCGCCGCAGCCAAGTGTGACAATTTTTACCCACCGCAATTTAGCGCCATCTGTGGGAATTATGCAGCTAAAAACCCTGCTCCACCTGTGAAGATTCTAGTACACGTCTGGCGACGAAAGACGCTAACCAATTCACCGTAGACGAGCATGATGCAAAACTTTTCCCAAGCCAATGGAGGTGCCCCTTAAATGCCGAAACATTACAGGAATGATGCAAGCAAGAGCAGAGGGATCTACTCACTATAAAAAACACTGAGAGCAACAACTGGGTGCTAGAATTAGCCAGTCGTGACTAAACCATATGTATCTTGAACCAACAACTCAAGGAACTTGTTGACCAGGTTAGGACCTTGAAATAAGCCCAAAATCAACCACTGACACAACAAAGGCATGATGAGGGAGGTTTACACCCCCCTAGAAAGAGGTACACGCAACGATCACAGGGAAGGACGCGCACTAGGCCCAACATAGGACCAACACCAGTCCAAAGGGTAGGCGAAACTAGCCATGTAGCGAGGAGTCTATCTTATTCTGAAGAATGCCGCCAAACCACTACCAAAAGAAAGGAATATCAAACAGAAGACTACGTCTGTTCAGAAAACGTGAGATCTTTTATGTGCAGAAGAGAGGTAACGTATGGAAAATGCCCAAGGAAGTCTGGTCAGGCCCAGAGTTTTGACTTTTGCATTGAAGATATGGGCCATTTATCAACACCAAGAGACAGGAGCAAGCAACCTAGGATCATACCAGGCATTACTCTAGATTCAATATGAAAATTTCAAGCCAAACCAACCCACGTGGCAGGCCAAGTCGTAGGGTCACCAATTATAAGACCGCCAGCTGCAAAGTTCTGCGAAAAACAAATACACGATAAACTGAAGAGGTCACCCAACCAAATTCTAAGGTCCAGATTCTGAACAGGGATCACTCTTAGAGCGACTATTAGGCGACCTGTCCTTCTGGTATCACCTTCAACCCACGTGGCAGGCCAAGTCGTAGGGTCACCAATTATAAGACCGCCAGCTGCAAAGTTCTGCGAAAAACAAATACACGATAAACTGAAGAGGTCACCCAACCAAATTCTAAGGTCCAGATTCTGAACAGGGATCACTCTTAGGTCCCGTTTGGGGACTTATTTTTTTAGTCAATTAGTTAAAAAGTTATTAAATTAGTCAAAAGTCAATAACTCATACCAAAAAGTCAAAGATTCTCTTTTCTCTCTACTTTTTGCACATCTTTTTGTAATTAGCCAAAAAATCATGCTAAACATACAAGTTTTTTTTACCTATTTTTTTAGTCAAATAACTAAAAAATTACTAAATTAACCTATTCCTAAACGAGGCGTTAGAGTGACTATTAGGCGACCTGTCCTTCTGGTATCACCTTTTACGAAAAGGATTTCTTCGATTGAGCCACCCAAGAAGTTTAGTATCCCAAAATTTGAGTTGTATCACGGGAGGTACTTATGTGTAGAGTTTTTGCTTCTAGTTTGGGTAAGACAGCCTACGCTTGGTACAACGAACTCCATGTGGACTCCATCGATAGTTGGAAACAATTGTCGAATAAATTCACTTAGCGATTTTTAGTAAATAGTAAAAGGGTAAAGAGGTTGAACACCCTTATGGCATTAAAGAAGACAAAGGATCAGTGTGACGCCCCAAAAATCGCGAACATCAGGAAATATATTAACAATTAAATATAGGGTTTATTTAAGGTTCGAAGTCTAGGAAACATCACTAATGAGTCCTATGGCTAATAACCAAGTAAGATTCCAGATCGCCGGAGGAGTCAAGTTAGCTTTCTTTCCAAGTCCAGCTTTCTTAGGTAGTGCACTATCCTTTTGACAGATCTTAAAAGGCATTGATGCAAGGTCTCATAAGCAACGCAGAGATAGACATAGAATTACAAGGTAAATAATAATTACAGTGTCTCAAATTTTAATTTACAAAACGAGTCTCATTACTATTACAATCCAAGAATAAACAAAAGCATAGTCAAACTAATAAGCGAAATGGCTCCGAACTTTCTCTAAGGCAAACTTAAGTCTTCAAATGTCTTTGACACTTCCTTCGTTGGCTTCATACATTTCTTCGATACCTGGCATGAAACGACATAAGTTTTGAATGCCCAATAAACACACACATACTCCATCCTTTTTCCCAATCTAATACACAATAGCAAATTACAACAATAGGAGAAAGGAGCATGACATTCAAGTAACTAATACAGGTTACAAGGTTAGTTGTTAGTAGTCTAGAAATCCCCCAAAGAGATTTCAACCTCCCAACCGCAAGAATCAGATGTGGATTATTCGATATGCCCTCTCTTTTACTACTTTGTTGCAGAACTTACCTCGGATGCCTAGCAACGGTTATATACCGCGTAGCGCCAACAACAGGGCCTCAAAAGTGGCGTTAATAATGGGCCTTGCCCAAATCCCTCCTTGCACCAAATACTTAGGGTCCGAATACAACCGCTCCGTTCAAGGGTTCCGAAAACCACTTGTGCAAGACTTTAACTTCCAAATAGGGAACGCATCCTGTTAACCAATCAACATCTTAGTAACTTGCCCAAAAATTCGCAACTCATTACCACCCATTAAGTTTTCCGTTTGAGTTAGATAATTTAAGTCAGAGTTAGGACATCCTCTTGAAACAACATCTATTGCACAAGTATGAACAACTAAATAGTACAAATAGAAGGAAATAAAGTTACAACATATGAGATTCACATATGAAGATAGGCACAAGTGGCTCTAGGCATGTTCAAGTAGTTAAGGGAATAATTTCGCACAAGAATATAATTTCCAAATTTGCATAAGTGTGAGCACCATCGAAGGATTAAAATAAAATGCATAAACCTATGACACATGTAATATCATACTGAGACATGATCATAAATTAATAAGCATATTCATGAACTCAAGAGCATAAAACACCAATGAAAATAGAATTTCCATATTTGGTACTACCTAAAGATTATACTCAAAAAGGCTATTTCAAATTTTTCCAGAGCCCGGCCTATCTATGGTTCGTAGGGAATTTTATCTGGTTCTCAGAAATTTTTTCGGAAATAGAATAAATTTTTCAGATTTTTAGTTATTTTAGAAATACTCCAGCTCTGTCCAAATTCGTCGATCGTTACGAAAATCAGATTTTCTCACAAACCACTCACTCATTTTCAATAAAACCAGTTTTCCTTGAAACATAACTCCTTACGAAAGATTTTGAAATAAAATGAAGGTCCAGAAGATTTTTATACATTTTTCTAAAATTTTTGCAAAGTGGCGGTAAAATAGATGTTTCTGGCACAGTTCTTGAAAATAGAAAGGTGGTGAGAAAAGAGGTCAGCTAGGGGAAATTTTCCACTTCTCTTGTGATGAAAACATGTTAAATAATATGTATTAAACTCAGAAATTTAAGGTGAAGGTGTGCCTTTGAATTTTGAGAGATTGATAAGGAAAAAGGTAGTCTTATACCGATTAAGAGAAATAAAAGAATGGTAGAATCAAGGCTCAACTCTTTTCATATTTAACAAAAGAATTAGAACACATCTGAAAATGTCATTTTAAAGTTTTAATAACATCTATTTGAAAAATAAAAATGAAAGAGAGAGTTGTGTTGTGGCTTACTTGAGAGTTGTTAGAATTGCTAGAAAACTTTTTCTTCCTCTCCTCTCTTCTACCAAGCTCACCCTCCTTCCTTTCTTCTCTCTCAACTAAATATAGTATGTATAAGTGTTGTTCTTGTATATAAAATACTAAGGGAGGGGTTGTTTATATTAGGGGTGGACGCGGATCGGTTACAGCCACGAAACCTCCAATCCGCCATCCGTCCGCCAGATTGACGGATTGGAGAAAGTCAATCCGCATCCGTCCGCCAATCCGGCGGATGTGGATTTGGCGGATTGGCGGATGGATACGAATCGGTTTGGCGGTTTGAAATTTTACAAATTTTAAACAAAAAACAAAAAAACCGCCACCCCACCCAAACCCGAAAAATGCCATAAACTAGGTATACATAAAGCGGTACAAAAATAATTTTATTAGTCCATCAAACAATATATATGACTGGTCTATAATGAATTAGTTTTACACAGGGCACTCTGTTCTATGTTTACACTTCACACCAGGATCTACACTCATTTTTGTGGTGAACCACAAATTCTTCTTGCCCTTCCTGGTCTATTTCTTTTATAAAAGAGCACACATGAAAACATGTGCTTATTCTTTATTCATTTTTTTGTTGTTTTCCATGATGACCTGACCATTGGCCTTATTATTATTTGTATCAAACCATGCTTAAACAGGACCTCTTGGAAATCTAATCTATGAGTTCCTATCTTTATCAGAGGCTTTGAACAAAAGAAAGATCCCTTTTATTAGTTCTTGACAAAGCCATTTCAAATGGTAAACCTCAACCCCTGCTCAAGAGTAATCCTATTTAAATATAACCTGATTCAGCTTGATATAAGTAATTGCAGAGAACAGAAAACCAGCCTAGACCTAGGGCAATTTCACTAAAAAAAATAAAATTGAAAAAATGCATGAATTCTTTCTTGAGATCTGGGAGCCTCAAATTGGGGTTTAATCAGAGCAACCAATGTAGCTTCTTCCTTCATTACATTGACCACAACAGGCATGACCTGCATTTAGGGTTAAATTAGGAACAGAGAAACAAAATGAAACAAAACCTTTAGGCTGTGTTTGGGTCACAGATTTCAGAAATGTGAACAAAATATAAGTTAAATTTTTTCTTTATCTCCTTCACCTTTTCCATTCTCTTTCCAAATCCATGATCCAAGCATAGCTTTAATAGGACTAAAAATCTAGATAATGATTAATAAAATCATGGTAATAATAATGGAGAATATTGAAATTTCACTACTCTACTAAAGAAAGAAATGGACTGCCTTTTAGAAGGCATGCAGAAAATCTGAGGCTCTATCTATAAATGAAGACCAAAGAATGGTCATAAATAACAGCTTGGAAAAATATACAGATGCAAGTTAAGATCATTTCAGCACTATCTAAAAGCTCACCAAAAGTATAGAAATGAATGAAAGGTCCAATGTCACCAAGTCAACTTTCCGTGGAAGTCCAGGAAGATATCTCAAATTTGTCCGTTCTACAACACTCGCACGTTCATCACGACGAATTTTGTCTGCAACCTATTTAAAAAATCAACATCAACCATTACTCATTAACAAATGTGAAATCCAAATATACAAGAACCACATTTGGAGGTCTCTAAGTTCAACGGCAGATCAACATTGGCAGCGCCAGAAGCTATTTTATTACCACTATCAGTGCCTATAAGACACATTGCAAATTAGCTCCCATAAAAAGCCATAAAGAAGAAACTCATTACTGCCATTTCATACCTTTGTGGATAATCTTCCCTATTGACTGTTGCTTGCCATTTTGTGTCTTTTTTGCAGGCTCAACCTGTGTAAAAAATACACGCACATCAAACATATAGCACAGAAGAACATTTCTCTGTGTTTAGAACTGGAACAAAACAAAATAATAATAATAGATTAGACTCTAAAAGATTAGATTTAGAAGTTTAGAACTGCAACCAAAAAAAAAAAAACAGTTAAGAAGAAGAAGAAGAAGAAGAAGAAGAAGAAGGAGAGAGAGAGAGAGAGAGAGATAGAGGTACCTCAGTTCAGTTACAGTCAATGTAGACTAGTAGACTGTAGATCGATCAATCTAACCATCTATTTCGTTTTAGAACTGGAACAAAAAAAAAACAGATTAGACTCAGATCATCAGAAGAAGAGAAGAAAAGAGAAGAAGAGGAAAGTAGAGAGAGAGAGAGAGAGATACCTCAGTTAGTAGTGTAGAATCTAGATCAATCGCCGACGACGCCATGTAGATCGATCACCGACGCCGTATAGATGATCGCCGATGCCGTGTATGTAGATCGTCCGACGATGGGTAGGGTAGTAGAGAGAGAGAGAGAGAGAGAGAGAGAGAGAGAGAGTTGAGAGAGACAGAGACATGTTGAAGAACCTAGGGCTACAAAACGTGAAATGAAAAAAAAAAATAATTCATAATCTTCCTATTATTTATTGGCCACACCGCCAATAATAAAATTTCAATTAAGACAGAATAATTCCTCCATGCAATGAGTCATTTGGTGTAAATATGGAGTTACAAAATCATGCTTAGGCACATGTTCTCAAACAACAGAGTAGTTGCACATCAGTTAGCAAAAGTGGCAATTATGAAAATATCCCTTTATGCGAATAATTATTGATGTTTTTTTTTTTTTAACACTAAAAAAGGAAATACCGTAGAGGCCTCATAACTTCTTATGGCTTTGACTCCGGTCTAGTCATTTGGTAGTTAGATTTAATTCAATTCAAATAAAAAAAATCTCATTGAGGCAATGATGAATTTCACACTCACTCTACAATAAGAATCTTAAGATTTTTGTAATAAGAGTACAATATAATTTTTTGAAAAAATGGAGGACGAAGCTCTACTAAACCACCACCGCCTGCGGTTAACACTCCATGTTGATGTCTAAATGCTGGAAGAATAATCTAAAGGAGGGACTTTCAACAACAACATGTCAATTAGCTTAGTTTTATCATAGTTAGGAGTAACTTTATCTTTGCAACTTTAGTTTGTAATCTTTGTAAGTGTTTCTTATTTTTTTTTTTAAAAGAAAAAATTGAGTCTTACACAATTGCTTGGTTACATTTGATTATTTGTTAAAAACTGGGGTTAAATTCCTGTCAACAAATATAGGCCTTAACATAATTTTTATTAACAAAAACTGTATTTAATTGAATCATATGAAGAGGAAACAAAAATTAAAATTAAATACAAGAAATTGAAAATTTAAGAATTAAATAGACAAAATAAAAAAGTTTATGAGATAATAGGGAAATCAAGGTTTAAAAAAAAGAAAAAATCTAAACGAATTCTCTTTTTACTCCTCTCTCAGTTTCCCTTCATCTTTCTTTTTCGCCCCTGCCAAACGTAGCAATAACGAGAGCTTCTATCATCAAACGACTCAAGCACTCACTTTCGTGTCTAGCTGTCTCAAAAAGAACCACTTTTTAGTGAAGAAAATGAAAATGAATGAGATGACTAATTAGTGCTACCACTAATTATGTGGCAGTGGATCTCACCATGAATGATTTGATGTTTTGACTTTAGTATTGTATTTTTTTTCTTTTTTTATTGAGTGTCATATCATTAGTGATATTTTTAGAGCTCTAAAATTAGTGGTATCTATCATTGTTAGTGAAGAAAATGCAAGCAATCGCCACTGGTGCTTTGATTTCCGGAAGAAGATTATTAGCTCATAATTACCGAAAAGGTATCACTCTTCTTCCCCTCGTCAATTTCAACTTCAATTTCAACTTCAACCCATTGTTGTCAGCTGATGACAATACACTTCTGTTTCATACCCAAATTTCAACTAACTCTAACCCTAACCCTAACCCTAACCCTAATCCTAATCTTCCTGATCACCGGAAGCAACTACCCAAATTTCTGTTGGACAAATCCGAATTGGGGTTTGGTAAGCTCGATGATGCTCTTAGTTTATTCCATCGGATGGTCCAAATGCAACCCCTTCCTTCGGTTATCCAATTCACTCAGCTGTTAACGGGTATTACCAGAATGAAGCATTATTCCACCGTTATTTCTCTGTTTAAAGAAATACGCTTGTTGGGTATTACGGTTAATGATTATACCTGAATGTCGTAATAAATTGCCTTTGCCACTTGAATCGACTAGATTATGGGTTTTCTGTCTTGAGTAGCTTCTTCAAACTTGGTTATGTACCATGTGTATCTACTTTCACCACTCTAATGAATGGGTTCATTTTACCAGACAAGACTGGTAAGGCCATGGAATTGTTTAATAAATTGGTAAGAGAGGGAGAAATCAAACCTGATAGAGTTATGTACGGAACTATTATAAATGGGCTTTCCAAGACAGGAAATACTACAACTGCCATAGGGATTCTTAGGAGTATGCGAAAATGGAACTATAAGCCTGATGTTGTGATGTATAACATAATTATTGATGGTCTTTGCAAGGACAAAAATGTAGATGATGCTTTGAGCCTCTTAGTGGAAATGAACCAGCAGGATGTTACACCAGACTTGATCACTTACAACACGTTGATTCACGGATTATGTAATTTGGGCCGGTGGGAGGAAGCAACAAGAATGTTGAGAGACATGACAGGCAAGAATGTTTTTCCAGATGTTCTTACATTTAATACATTGATAAATGCATTCTGCAAGGAAGGGATGGCAAAAGAAGCAGAGAATGTTCTTGAATTCATGGTCCAAAGAGGTGTTGGTCCCAATGTAGTCACATACAATACACTCATGGATGGTTATTGCTTGCTAGGTCACATGGACAGAGCAATAGAAGTCTTTCATTCCATGGTGGATAAGGGCATTGAACCGAACATTCTTTGCTATAACATTTTGATCAATGGATATTGCAAAAATATGAAAATTGAAGAGGCCATGAATGTTTTCCGTGAAATGCCTCGTAAAGGATTGAAACCGACAATTGATACTTACAATACTATGTTGCAGGGATTGTTTGGGGTTGGTAGGTGTTCTACTGCTCAAGGACTTCTGAATGAGATGCAAGCTAATGGTCAGTCTCCAGATTATTATACTTATTGTGTCCTACTGGATGGATTATCCAAGAATGGCCATATTGATGAAGCATTGTTGTTATTTCAAGAGCTGGAATGCAGTGGCGTAAATCCTGGTATTACTATGCACAATATATTAATTGATAGATTGTGCAAAGATGGGAAGCTTGAGATGGCAAGGAATCTATTTGGTAAGCTTGACTCTAAAGGTTTGCGGCCTGATGTTCGCACTTTTACTATGATGATAGGTGGATTTTGTGAACAGGGGCTATTGGGTGAGGCAAATGATTTACTTGTGACGATGGAAGGGACGGGTTGTATGCCTAATTATGCAACTTACAATGTTATGGTCCGTGGATTCCTTAAAGCAAATGACTACACTGAAGCAAATATACTTGCGGAGAAAATGATTGGGAGGGGCTTTTCAGCAGATGCATCTACTTTGGTTACAGTAGTGGATCTACTCTCTGCTAAAGGTCAAGATCCTACTCTCTTTCATATGATTAAAAAATTGGTTCCCCGGGAAAACACTATAGGAATTTGTTAAGCTATCAACACGGATGCTATCTTTGGTAGTCATATGTCTGCTCAGAATTTGCTAGCTAAGTATTTAGTTTATTGTTTCTATCATTTTCAATTTTACACTATAATCTTCTTAAGCATACATTGCCTATGATGAAGTGAAGGTTCAATTTACAATTTAATTGGAATATGATTCTTGTTGATTTGTTTTGGTAATATAAAAAAGGAATCAAAGATCATTTAAGGACGAGGAATTGATGGGTTCTACCTTGAAACAGTTGATGCTTGGTTGATTGCTTGCAAATGATGCTATTTACAATGTTATTGTCCACTGCCAAGGACAAAACTGAGGTAGAAGATGCTATATAATCATTCTTATGCGCAATGAATTGGGGATTGAGATCATTTTGGCAGGATTCAAAAGTCAATTTGGGTACTTCTGTTGATTCATATGCAAACATGGAAGAAATTCTAAGATGTAATAGATTCTCAACAAAGTTTGAATTCATCTACCGCCAGACCTGCAGTTTTACAAAGGTTGAAGGTTACTTGGAAATCATTGCGTTAATGGTTACAGAGACAAGTAAGTACTATTAGAAGGTGATAGTATTCAGTATTTAGCAACACAAAATTTTGTGCATAATGTGCTTCTTACCTTTGCCATACTTCTGTTTAATTGTTTGTGAAACAGAATTTAAAGGCAACTGATGCCATATACCATATCAGAAATGCAAGTTGTACTGCCATTTGTAGATTGCATTGTTTTTTTTTTTTTTGATATTTGGGTGTCTGGGCCACATTTGTAGATTGCAATATTATAAATTTTAAAATGCTCTTTCTGTTTGTTCCTTTCTCTTTTTTTGTATGTCGTTCTGTTCTTTTGCCCTTAATTGATTCAAATCTCATGTTTTTACTTGTGATTGCAACTATGACAACAAATATCTAAGTTTGGTAAAGGTTTTTGGTAATTTGAGGATGAAAATTTAGCCGTTGATCTGTAAGCATAATGTGACAGTAGGGAAACATACTGTTTTTAGTTTGAGTTTCTGGATTTCTATTACAACAGGCTTTGAATTTGGATTGATGGGATTGACCTTTTGAATGTGATACCTTAAATTGGTTAGCAAGCATTACCGAGGTTCTAATTATGGACTTTTTATGTACTAATAAGTGATTCCGGGATCTATTGTGGCCACAAATGAGGTGCAACCTTAGCTCATTGCTCGTATCCATTGTCTATGGTGTCAGTGTTACTTTTTGGCACTCCTTGACTTTTTGGCAGGAGTTCTTATCAACTCGATACGTTTTACTGCTTACTGGGCCTATTAAGTGGTGTGAATTTTTTGCATTACCTCCTCTGGGCCAGACTGCTACAAGTACAGATCAACAAGGCTGCAACAATGAAAGTAAAATCCAAACAGTGAAGTAACTACAATATGACATGAATGTTCATGTTTTCATCCAGTCGTCAAAGGCAATTCCCTAGAATTTTGAAACCTCAACATTTGATATCCTATATGACGACTAGTTTTTGCTTTGAACTTGTTTTGGCAAAGATGCATTTTGTGTTTTAACATTCATGCAATGTATGGGCATCATTAATTCCATTCATCAAAACAATCTTCCTTCATCTCACAATTAGCTGACAATTCTGACACTAGAGATCAATATGATTTCTAAAATTATATCAATTTTCTTATAAATATTAGTAGAAGTAATTGTGTAACGAGTATCTAGTTGAGTTTTTAAAAATTAGAAAGTAGTTTGAAAAAAAAAAAAAGTAAAACACAATTTTTTGTTTTTGAAGAAATTATAAAAAAATTCTAGGGTTTGATCATTGTAACAAAATAAATTGAGAGTTTTAATTTTACCAATTTAAAATATAATTTTTTGATTTATTTTCAATCTAAATTATTCTCATATTTTTTTCAAATAAAATATATTTTTTGGCCATTAAATTTAATGTAATTGTCTATAAAATGTTTAAAATATAATTTTCGTTAAGTTTTATGACTAAAATATTATGTTTTTTCATCGGTTTTACTACATTATATAAAAATAGACAAATAATTTAAATTGAAAATAAATTAAAATTTTAGAACTTAAATTGATAAAATTAAAAATTTAATTGTATTAAAATAGTCAAGCTCTAACTTATTTATTTATTTTTTAAAAATTTTCCAAATATTTTTTATTTAAAAAAAATTATTATTTATATTCTAAATGTATATATAAGGACATTTTTTTTATAAATCCCTTTTCACCTACTCATGTTCTATTTAATTCACATTATTTTCTTATATTCCAACAAGTCTTATGGGTGACATAGTTACCAAAATACCTCTAACAATATTCACATTTACATTGTGAATGTTTCGTAATGTGAATGTTCACACCATCAATGTGAATGTTCACACCATCAATGTGAATGTTCACGCCATCAATGTGAATGTTAACATGTCAATGTGAACATTCACACGTCAATGAAAATATTCATATTATAAAATATGATTGTTCACCTCACTAAATTACTAACCGTTCAAAAAATATATGTAAGGGTAAAAATATTCATAAAATACCTTAAATATAAGAATTATGATTTGATAGATCAAATATCCAAATAATAAGACTTATTAAAATATAAAAATATTTTATAGACTAATTGAGATACAAACGCTTAAAAAAAAATTTCTAATAAATTTCTCATATATATATGTACAAATAATAATTAGTATTTTTAATTTTTTTTTTCACCACTCTCTCTTCCTCTGTCTCTGTCTCTGTCTCTCCCCTTATCAAAAGTAAGAACTGCAACTACAAAAAGAATGGAGTCTCCCTCTCTCCCCTTATCAAAAGTAAGAACTGCAACTACAAAAAGAATGGAGTCTCCCCTCATCAAAAGTAAGAACTGCAACTACAAAAAGAATGGAGGAGCAAAGTGGCCTCAGTAACTGTAGCGAATTGATGAATTCATAATCAAATCTAATGTAGGACAAGAATTAAAAATAAAAAAAAAATTATATTTTTAGTTTTAATATTTTTGATATATTATTTTATTAGGATTCTTATAATTTAGTATAAATATTCTAGAATTATTAGGTTTCTTACTTTTATTATTTTAGAATTAGATTTTGATTAGGATTTTAAATAGTTTATAATTTTAGTTTCCTATTCTCTTAAGTTTCTTAATTTGTGCTGATTTAAGTTTCCTAATTTATTTTAGAATTACTTTTCTTACAAGTATTAGGTTTAGTTTATTATAAATAGATATGTAAGCCTCATGGTAAAGAACAACTTTTATTCATTAAATCAATAATATTAAGATATTTTCTCTTCCTTGTGGATTCAAGGTTCTATTTTTCTCGTGGATTTAAGAATCACTTTCGTCTACTAGAACGATATCTAGTCCCCGTATATTCTGTGTCAAGTGGTATCAGAGCATGGACTTACCTAACTCAATGACACAAGGCAATGGAGCATACACAATCCCTATTGACATTCACTACAACAAAAAAGGCCTTTGGTGACAGACTGATTTTGTCTCCAAACATCAAATTTTCGTCACTAAAGTGATTTGCAACGAAAAAAATTTGTCACCATGTTTGTGGCCTATACGTCGTCGCTGAAAGTACCTGGTGATGAAAAACAGTTTCGTCGCCTATTTTTGATTTTTGGCGACGAATTGTTTCGTCTCCGAATGTTGAATTTTTCATCCTCTATAACATCAATTTCGTCGCCAAAACTAAATAATATTTTATTTTGTTTTTCACGACGAAATATTTCGTCACCAAATAGATTTTAGTGACGAAAGTTTTCCTCACCAACGATATGGATTAAGGTGACCAAAAAAATTCGTCACTAAAATGAGCAGAAAAAAAAAATTCTTCAATGACAAAAAACATTTTGTCACCAAATATTTCAATTTAATGACGAAATATTCAGCAAATGTGACGAAATTATTTGTTTGGTATTGTATCATTAGTGACAAAATTATTCATCATGTTTTTTGAAAACTAATAGCGACATTTTTTATTTCGTCACTAACAAAAATTAAAAATTTTGAAAATGGGGGTGCTATTTTCTTTCGAAATTTTTTGTTTTCAGTAACAGTTCCCTGTGCATTTCAATAACATGTTCAATAAAATATCTATTACAAATCAATACAGAAATCTGTTCATTTTCATAAACATCACGATCGAATTTCAGCACTATCCACAAAAATACAATATGAACTGCATGCGGATTATATACATGTCTCCTAATATCCACAAAAAAACGTCTACTAATATCCACAAAAATATAATATCAACCGCATGCGGATTACCAAACATATTTCCTAATATCCAACAAAAAACATGTCTACCAATATCAACAAAAATAAAATATCAAGGGCGGATTACCCAACATGTCCGTAATACCAACAAAAATAGAAAATTTACAACCAACCAAAATACATGTAAGGTAATATTAACAAAAACACAAAATGAGCTACCATCTGCCCTTCAAATTACCAAACATGTCCATATCAAATCTTGAATCTGCAAAAAAATGAAACATAAAATAAAAAAAAAAATGCAAGTTAGACAATTATTATCTTATCCATAAAATATACAATTTAACATGCATTTTTCGAATTAGTTTTCAAATCGAGAATCCCGTGCTAGTTCTGTAAATTTCCACAACTCACATTGGTCTCCCTCGAGGTGTTTGAGGTGTTCCCCGGGCTGTCTCGTGGCTATTGCACGATTTTGGCCCCCGAAGGTCTATTTTCAAGCTTAAGTGTGACAAAGTGCCTTTTTGGACTTAGTTTTCAAACCGGGCGTCCCGTGCTAGTTTCGTAAATTTTCAAAACTCACATTTGTCCCTCCCGAGGTATTTGAGATGTTATCTGGGCCGTCTCCTGCCTGATGCACGATTTTGGCCCCCCGAAAGTCTATTTTCAAACTTAAGTATAAGAAAGTGCATTTTCAGACTTAGTTTTCAAACCGAGAGTCCCATGCTAGTTCCGTAAGTTTTCACAACTCACATTGGTCCCCCCCGATGTGTTTGAGGTGTTCCGCGGGCCGTCCTGTGGCTGTTGCATGATTTTGGCCCCCGGTGGCCTATTTTCAAGCTTAAGTGTGAAAAAGTGTATTTTTGGACTTAGTTTTCAAACCGGGAGTCTCGTGCTAGTTTCGTAAGTTTTCACAATTCACATTGGTCCCTCCCGACTTGTTTGAGGTGTTCCCCGGGCCGTCCCGTGGCTGTTGCACGATTTTCGCCCCCGGTGGCCTATTTTCAAGCTTAACTGTGAAAAAGTACATTTTTAGACTTAGTTTTCAAACCGAGAGTCCCGTGCTAGTTTCATAAGTTTCCACAACTCACATTGGTCCCTCCCGAGGTGTTTGAGGTGTTCCCCGGGCCGTCCTGTGGCTGTTGCACAATTTTGGCCCCCAAAGGTCTATTTTCAAGCTTAAGTGTGAAAAAGTACTTTTTTGAACTTAGTTTTCAAATCGAAAGTCCCGTGCTAGTTCCATAAGTTTCTACAACTCACCTTGGTCCCTCCCGAGGTGTTTGAGGTGTTCCCCGAGCCGTCCCATGGCTGTTGCACAATTTTGGCCCCCGGTGGCCTATTTTCAAGCTTAAGTGTGAAAAAGTGTATTTTTGGACTTAGTTTTCAAACCGGAAGTCTCGTGCTAGTTCCGTAAGTTTTCACAACTCACATTGGTCCCTCCCGAGGTGTTTGAGGTGTTCCCCAGGCCGTCTCGTGGCTGTTGCGCGATTTTGGCCCCTGGTAGCCTATTTTCAAGCTTAAGTATGAAAAAGTGTATTTTTAGACTTAGTTTTCAAACCGGGAGTCCCGT